GCTCCATAAAGCAGTTTTGAAAGCTTTGAAAATGTGATCTCCCTTACGAAAAAGAAGTTTATTCAAGTGTGCTATTAGTATACTTCTTTTAAACTAAAAATAGGAAAGTATACTTTTAGTCTACTTTTTATGTACTCCTCAGAAATATACTTAAAATGACATTTAAGTATACTTGACTTATACTTAGAAAAAGTCTCAATATATTTGAGCTATACTTGTGTTCCTAGAATCCGTGTTTTCATTGTTATACTGTAGGGGGCGCTAGTACACATCTTCTGTACAGAATTTCCAATTAAGTATACTTGCTCAAATAAACTTGAAGTATACTACTTTTTTGGTAAGGGCTAGCACCTCTATACAGTGTGTGCCAAAGACTTTAAGTCTATCCTCCGCTGCCTAGTTTTCGTTTACATGAAATTCAATAAGGTGTTAAATTCTCCATTGCAATTGGTATGTATTGCTTTGTGTATCTAATGCAAAATATCTTTCAGTTATTTATTTATTTATTTAATTAGTGAAGACACACTGCCTGTTGTCTCTCAAGATCGATGAACGATCCATCTGTTAGAACAATGCACTTGTCTTTTATTTTAAAATGACAAACAGTCTTTATTAAAACTGATTATTCAACTCTTGACTTTCTCTTTATCCCGAGAATGACACCACGGAGGAACCAACAAACTGTTCTTGTCTTTTAAACTGCATGACACCAAAAAGCCAAAGCATGAGTCAAAGCAAGCTTTTGTTCAGACTAAAGTACATAATCACTGTAATATGGCCAATGAACCATCCATCATGTAACCTTTAACCTTGTGAGGAAAGCTTGCTTTTAAAACCATTCCTCAAGGAAAAGGCTAGTTTTAGGAAGGTGTAGATTTAGAGATTAAAGGATTTTTTTTTTTCAAATGCTTGGAGTGAATAAATGATAGAAATCTTAGCAAGGTCACGTTGGTTGAAAGCAAGCATTGTTAAAGAACATCACCTGTTACCTCCATCTTCATGATAGACGCCTTTAGTCTGCTGAAAACACAGCCTTTTTAATCAGAAATAGACCTTTGTTTTTTTTCCACATTTTAACAGCATGCCTATCTGCATATCAGGTTACTGGGAAAATCATTATATGTTGCTCACAGGAAATAATATCAAACAAACTGCTCCTCCCATATGCTGTGGTTGGGAAATCCCCTTTCTAAGGTCGTCACCTTTAGTTGAAAAGCTTATGCTCATATAGTTGCCATTCTATTACAATATACCTGTATATACTTGTATAAACTTGATATTTACCCTGAAAATTATATTTATTTGCTCCTTAGAAAAATTGACTTGTTTGCTCAAAGAATAAAAGGTCCGATTTTTTCAACACATTTTATGCAAATGATGATTTTATAGATAACGCCAAAAAAACAAAACAGAAACTAAATCGGTGATATGCAAAACAGTTATTTTGCCATTTTTTAATAATATAATAATTACAACAAATATCTGATATGGCAGTATAATTTATCTGACAGTATTGTCATTGAGTGACTGTGGCAAGTAATTGTGGCAAATTTTGCGAGAAAATGAAAGAAGGAAGAGGACTGAACCCAAAGTATCATGATGGCACTTGGTAGATTTTTTTTTTTCTCTCAAACAGCAATTTTCAAAATTTTCAAAATTCATAATGCAATCTAAATGACTGCGTTTCACTCTCTACGTCAGATACCGGCACACAGCATAGTTTCCTTCTCTCGCTCTCTCTGCTAACATACGCAAAAAATATTCAGTCATTACTCTCTCAGTTTAAAAGTTAACGTTCTTTATACGTTACTAAATGAATATAATTGTTTGATAATAATTGTTTAAATTAATATAATAATTGATGCTTTTGCCCCCCATCCCCACCCTTTCTTACTCTTGGTACCACTATATTATTGAACACTTTCACTTATGGAATAAAGTAATAATGGCAGACTGTGAAAAAAGATTTTAAACACGTAACCTAAAAACACCTCGGTTATGTATGTAACCATCATTCTCTGAAGGAGGGAACGGAGACATTATGTCGACATACTGATGTGTGCTCTCCCAAATGAGACCCCAAATGTCAGTATGTCGACTTAACGTCAAAAGTGACTGACTGAAAGGGAACTATTGCTTTTAGTGCTACATTAAGATTTCAGTTCTCTGTATTGCAGTTATTTTTTAAGGGTTACTAGAGTCAACAAGTACCTCTTTTGTGTGTGTGTTAGTGCAAAAAAAAAAAAAATCTGGCGATCTGACTGCAGATACGTTCATGATATCATGAATTGTTTGGGGCTCTGCCAGCAGTTTCTCTGGTATCATCACCGTTCATAATTCTTCCACTAGCTTTTTAGGGCCCCTAAGTCAAGAAGCGACGACACCAAGTTGTGCAGAGCAGTGAGTTTTAATTTGACCTTCAATTCAAAAATGTCCTTGCGTTAAGAGGAAATTATACAATGCAACATTCAATACTTTCCATGTGCATCAGATGTGCCAGGTCTCAGGAGCTGGACGGTTTGACTGGAGGATCATCTGCAACTAATTTTTATACATTTATGTGCTCAACATTAATGCTTGTCTGGGACAAGTGTATTTTTTTGAAGGGGCGAAGTAGCCTTATTAAAACATGAATAACAATAATTAATTAGAGAAGCACCGAAACTTTGGTGAGAATGATTCTGATTTTATTACATTCAGTGTAAACGGCGACTGATATTGTATAATGCATTGACAGTAACAAGGTCACAGCAGATGAAGCTCACACAGCCTGACTGTGTGTGTGAGCGACTCTCATGGAGAAATCAAAACAAATGATCGCAACAGCACAAAGAAACAAACATGAACAAAAATACTGTGGTTAAAATGTTGAGTTTTATGTTTATAACAAATGATGAGTGACACCAAGAGTCAATTTAATTGGGCAAATATCATAAACATGCTTATATGTGACCCAGGAGCACAAAACCAGTCATAAGGGTCAATTTTTCGGAATCTGAGGATGCAAAAACATCAAAATATTGAGAAAATCATCTTTAAAGGTGTCCAAAAGAAGTTCTTAGCAATGCATATTACTAATCAAAAATTAAGTTTTGATATATTTACGGTAGGAAACTTACAAAATATCTTCATGGAACATGATCTTTACTTAATATCCTAATAATTTTTTGCATAAAAGAAAAATCTATAATTTTGACCCATACAATGTTTTTTTGGCTATTGCTACAAATATACCCCAGCGACTTAAGACTGCTTTTGTGCTCCAGGGTCACATATAGGCAAGTAAAAGCTTACAGAAAACTGATGAGAATTACTTCAGAATAAATTACATTACATAAAAAAAAAAAATCCCCTTTTTCCTGGACAAGTAACTTTTTTTTAGTTGGTGTTTAGCTGAAAAAATGCAATTCTGTATGTTTACATTACCACTGTATTGTCTGCTTTGGACAACATTTCAGCATGACACAGGGATTCCCATGTCTGTGATTCCTATGTAAGCATATATGCCACCTTCCTCCCTTTTTAACCCCCAAAGATAAAAGTGAAATTATATCTATGCATAAAACTTTGTATAAAGCATACAACTGCAACCTTACCTGACCCCATAAAAAGTAAAGCCAGTGGCAAAAATCTACACGACAAACAAAACACTATCAGAAGGTAAGAAAAAAAGAAAACCGTGTGAAGAAACACACAGTCCAGCAAAGACAGCAGAATTCACTTAGACCAAGCCCTGCTTTCCTTATTTAAATTCAAATTGTGGTCCTTTGGATTCCAGGACACTGCTCCATATCCTCCTGCCAGCCACTCGGATACACAAATCCATGTGTGTCCAAACCAAGTTCACAGATTTGTTCCCTGTCAACTCATCTACTTTAGGGGAGCAGTTTGGGAGGAGTCTGGCAGGTGTCATCTGTCTTTAACATTCATTTAACCTTCATCATGTCTTGTTTATATAACAGTTGATTTTCTTAATAACTATATGCTAATATTCAAATATCCTTTCCATGTTAATTTGTGTACATATTTATCTGCAGTTAAGTATTATGCATTTCTTTGGGCTGTTATAATGAAAGACTTCTAAGTTGAAAATTAGATGCTCTCTTATTTTTTGCCTAAAATCAAAGGTAATTTAAGAATGAATCAAACTATTAAGAACTAATTTTGTTTGGATCTTAGTCTTGTTTTGTAAACAATTTTCTGTTTTGTCAGTCAACAGAGCCTCACAGCCCTCATGTTAGCCTTACTTCCTAAAAACGTTTAGTAGTATAATAACACAGCTGAGAATGACTTCTTGGCACATGGCATAATGTTTTTATAATGGAATGTTTGACTGATGTTCAGCATGTTCTGCTGGTTTCACTGATATGTATAAACATCTCACACGGCATACATGCCACATGACCCTTAAGATACCAAGAAGTTTTCTAACTCTCAGTATTATAAGTCATGGGTTCAATTCCCAGAGAAGGCTGATAAATATAGACTGATATATGTAAACTGAAAGCAGCACAAGTGACTTCGCTTAAAAGTGTCTGCTAAATGCAGCAGCAGTGCATTTATAGTCACATTAAACTTTACTGTTGTTGTCTTGTTTTCTGTCAGCTGTGAGAATCAGCATTGAGCATGTGACCTATGCTGCACTGAATAGGCACTTTTTTTTATCATACTAATTTAAATGCCGGTTAGGCTAAGGTTTGGTTGATTTTCTTTATCTATCAGTAGACCTCTGCTGGTAGATGATGTAACTACACCATGCCTTTATGTTGAATTCATAAATGGCTTTTTTATTATTTATATCACCTTATATGATTTTTTTTTTTAATTTTCACTAAAACCCTTTTTGCATAGTGACATTTTATATGTTCTGTTGGTTAATAAAAAACACACAAAAATTCAGCTCAATAAAATTAGACATTTATTTGCTGAAAAACACAGCATTGTATCATTTTGAGAAAAATGTCTCAGAAAATAAGTTTGCAATAGAACGTCGTCTTGATTTAATAGTATGTTTCTCTTTCCACCCAGCCTGAAAACAAAATAGCACTGATATTAGATTTTATTCTTAATTTCTTAAAGCAATGAAATACTGTAGGGACATATGTTATTACCTCCTGGATTCTGTCGTAGGAGGTATTTTCTAACTTCATCATAGATGAAGATGAGAAGTGAGTATGGGAAGGCAGTGAACCACCACAATGGTCTGCATGAAAGAACACAAGGATTTTTTTCTTTTTTTTCATTGTTTCAAACCCTCATGCCACAAAGTCAGCTAGACAAATGAAAAGATTTGAGCGTGAAGACACCCAATTACATGTGTGCAAAAGTCTAGATACGTCCACTTACCTTAGAGGATACATTCTGACGGCAACGTCCATGCCTGGGCAGTAGGACAAGAAAGCTGCCAGAGCAGCTTCCTCAAAAAAGGCAAAGATGAGGACTTTGTTTCTTGGAAAAAAGAAAAGAACAAATTGTGATAAGGCTTTAAGGTGAGCAGCCTCGTGCTGCAACTGAACAAACAATCCACCAATACGTTATGGCTTCTTTGAAGCTTGTTTGCATCCCTTTGTTTACATACTTCATTCCCTGCTGTATGATGGAATTTCTTCTGGTCTTTACAATGATCAAGTCACCCCACTGCACAACCACAATACTGATGAAAAATGCTGTGTGGCAAGTGGACTCTATAATCTTTCTGGCCTCAAAGGTCTGCATCAGACAATTAAAACACAAGAACAAAGCAATGTTTATAAAAACATTTAAAAGACTGATTTTTCACATTTGTTCTATAATATAGAAGCTTTTTTGTTTCAATGTATGGCTTGCTAAAGCTTTAACACTTACCCATTGTTGACCATAGCTGTCTTCCAGGTCACTGATAGATCTGTCTTCCCAACCAACTCGAAGTCCTGGCAGATAACTGGGCCAGAATCCATTCTCACCCATAACCACGATGTAGGTAAAGAACCCTGCAACTGCTTGGATCATACCTAAAAAGGAAAATCATGACAGTAAAATTAATTGCTTGCCCATATTCATATACGCTTATACTAACTGTATAAATGTTAAAGATCTTTAACAGATGCTATGTGAAAAAATTCAGAGCTCTCTTTATCGAGTAAGAATGTGCTTACCGATTTGACCATATGCCATACTGATTAGCCTCGCGTTCACCAGCCTGTCTGTTTGAGCATTTCTGGGTTGTCTCTTCATGATGTCATTTTCTGCATTTTCATAAGCCAATGAGATAGCAGGAATCTGTGGCAACAATTAAAACGAGTTAAAAACAGATTAATAATTTAAAGATCTCTACGGTAATAATCATTTTTCTTACCAGATCAGTGCCCAGGTCAATGCAGAGAATGGTGACGGTGCCCAAAGGTAGAGGAATACCAATGAGGACAAACATGAGGAAGGGTGACATCTCAGGGATCTTACTAGTCAGCGTGTAGGCAATAGACTTCTTCAAGTTGTCAAAGATCAGACGTCCTGATGTGGAAGATACATTCAAAAAATAAGTGTCATAGTGACCTTGATAAATCTTCAGTCAAGTAAGTTCTCAAAATCATGACATACCTTCTTCTACTCCAGTGACAATTGAGGCAAAGTTGTCGTCCAGAAGAATCATGTCAGCAGCCTGTTTGGATACGTCAGATCCAGCGATACCCATAGCCACACCAATGTCAGCCTTCTTCAGAGCAGGAGAATCATTGACACCATCACCGGTTACGGCCACAATGGCACCCTGATAAGAGAAATAAAATGCATTAAAACGGTTCCTGCTGGGAAAGATTTTCTAGTATCAATAGGATCTGATAGATAACTGTCTGAGGGTACCTGTCGCTGACAACCTTCCACGATAATCAGCTTTTGTTGTGGAGAAGTTCTGGCGAAAACAATTTCTGTATGGTATTTGAGGATCTCATCCAGGTCGCTTTCATTCATATTCTTCAGTTCTCCACCATGGACCACACAGGCCTTAGCATCTCTAGAGGTACACATTGCATTAGCAGACATCTAGAGCAATTCCACATGCCACATCTAGAACTGGTTGAGATGATTGGTTTACCTTGGATTGACCTCTCCAACAGGAACGTTCAAACGTGCAGCAATGTCTTCCACAGTCTCATTGCCTTCAGAGATGATGCCAACACCCATTGCAATAGCCTTAGCTGTAATTGGATGGTCTCCAGTAACCATGATAACCTGTATGGGAAGAGTCATTAATTTTAATTACTTTGAATGAATAACCTTATTTGTAATTGAATGGTCACAAGTAATTATTATCGGAATAATTTAATATGGACACAGTATATTCAAGCAGTTGATCTTCGATGATGACAACACCTTGATTCCAGCACTCCGGCATTTGGCCACAGCATCTGGTACAGCCGCACGAGGGGGATCGATCATGGACATGAGGCCAACAAAACACAGGTTCTCAGTGGGGAAGTTCACATTTTCAGTATCAAATGCAAAACCCTCAGGAAATTGGTCATCAGGGAGGCTAAAGTGGCAGAAACCTTTGAGAAAGAACACAATCATTAGTGTACATAGTCATAGTTTTAACTGAAAAACTCCACAAGGTGAACTTCACAAGATGGCTTTACCCAGCACTCTTTCTCCGAGACCTCCGAGTTCTACATAAGCATTTTGGAAAGCATCGTTCATTTCATCATCCAAAGGCTGCTCTTTTCCTTGAATCACAATAGTAGAGCATCGATCCAAGATTCTCTCAGGGGCTCCCTTCATCACCAGCAGGTGCTTAGACTCTGAAGAATTGGGATTCTTGTGGACTGAGAGCTAGAAAAGGCATATTAAAGGCCTATTAGGATGACCAGTTAATCTACAAACCAATCTCTAAAGAACACCTCAACAAAAATACCTGATACTTGTTGGTGGAGTTGAAAGGGATCTCAGCAATCTTTGTGTACTTCTCTCTCATTTCAATGACTGAACCACAGCACAGCTCAATACACTTCAGCAGGGCAGACTCTGAGGCATCGCCAGCTGTCTCTCGCTGCAAAACAGATGTGATGTGAAAAGCTGCCACTCTCAATGATACTAACTCTAAAACTTGCATGCTTTTAAATGCATTTTCAATGTACTTCTAAAATCTAGATATTAAGATAGCACACCTTAAGGACTGGAAGATGGTTCTGATTTGATTGGAAGACGGCACGATTGCAAAGGCCAGCAACACGTGCGAGGGCGGCCCAAGTAGCAGAGCTCTTGTCAAATGAGGTTCCAGTTTGGTTCTCTGTGGTGTCTGCTATATGAATATGGCTGTCAAACCACATGTGAGCGACTTTAGTCTGCTGAAAACACAGCCTTTTTAATCAGAAATAGACCTTTGTTTTTTTTCCACATTTTAACAGCATGCCTATCTGCATATCAGGTTACTGGGAAAATCATTATATGTTGCTCACAGGAAATAATATCAAACAAACTGCTCCTCCCATATGCTGTGGTTGGGAAATCCCCTTTCTAAGGTCGTCACCTTTAGTTGAAAAGCTTATGCTCATATAGTTGCCATTCTATTACAATATACCTGTATATACTTGTATAAACTTGATATTTACCCTGAAAATTATATTTATTTGCTCCTTAGAAAAATTGACTTGTTTGCTCAAAGAATAAAAGGTCCGATTTTTTCAACACATTTTATGCAAATGATGATTTTATAGATAACGCCAAAAAAACAAAACAGAAACTAAATCGGTGATATGCAAAACAGTTATTTTGCCATTTTTTAATAATATAATAATTACAACAAATATCTGATATGGCAGTATAATTTATCTGACAGTATTGTCATTGAGTGACTGTGGCAAGTAATTGTGGCAAATTTTGCGAGAAAATGAAAGAAGGAAGAGGACTGAACCCAAAGTATCATGATGGCACTTGGTAGATTTTTTTTTTTCTCTCAAACAGCAATTTTCAAAATTTTCAAAATTCATAATGCAATCTAAATGACTGCGTTTCACTCTCTACGTCAGATACCGGCACACAGCATAGTTTCCTTCTCTCGCTCTCTCTGCTAACATACGCAAAAAATATTCAGTCATTACTCTCTCAGTTTAAAAGTTAACGTTCTTTATACGTTACTAAATGAATATAATTGTTTGATAATAATTGTTTAAATTAATATAATAATTGATGCTTTTGCCCCCCATCCCCACCCTTTCTTACTCTTGGTACCACTATATTATTGAACACTTTCACTTATGGAATAAAGTAATAATGGCAGACTGTGAAAAAAGATTTTAAACACGTAACCTAAAAACACCTCGGTTATGTATGTAACCATCATTCTCTGAAGGAGGGAACGGAGACATTATGTCGACATACTGATGTGTGCTCTCCCAAATGAGACCCCAAATGTCAGTATGTCGACTTAACGTCAAAAGTGACTGACTGAAAGGGAACTATTGCTTTTAGTGCTACATTAAGATTTCAGTTCTCTGTATTGCAGTTATTTTTTAAGGGTTACTAGAGTCAACAAGTACCTCTTTTGTGTGTGTGTTAGTGCAAAAAAAAAAAAAATCTGGCGATCTGACTGCAGATACGTTCATGATATCATGAATTGTTTGGGGCTCTGCCAGCAGTTTCTCTGGTATCATCACCGTTCATAATTCTTCCACTAGCTTTTTAGGGCCCCTAAGTCAAGAAGCGACGACACCAAGTTGTGCAGAGCAGTGAGTTTTAATTTGACCTTCAATTCAAAAATGTCCTTGCGTTAAGAGGAAATTATACAATGCAACATTCAATACTTTCCATGTGCATCAGATGTGCCAGGTCTCAGGAGCTGGACGGTTTGACTGGAGGATCATCTGCAACTAATTTTTATACATTTATGTGCTCAACATTAATGCTTGTCTGGGACAAGTGTATTTTTTTGAAGGGGCGAAGTAGCCTTATTAAAACATGAATAACAATAATTAATTAGAGAAGCACCGAAACTTTGGTGAGAATGATTCTGATTTTATTACATTCAGTGTAAACGGCGACTGATATTGTATAATGCATTGACAGTAACAAGGTCACAGCAGATGAAGCTCACACAGCCTGACTGTGTGTGTGAGCGACTCTCATGGAGAAATCAAAACAAATGATCGCAACAGCACAAAGAAACAAACATGAACAAAAATACTGTGGTTAAAATGTTGAGTTTTATGTTTATAACAAATGATGAGTGACACCAAGAGTCAATTTAATTGGGCAAATATCATAAACATGCTTATATGTGACCCAGGAGCACAAAACCAGTCATAAGGGTCAATTTTTCGAAATAGAGATCTATACATCATCTGAAAGCTGAATAAATAAGCTTTCCATTGATGTATGGTTTGTTAGGATAGCACAATATTTGGCCGAGATACAACTATTTGAAAATCTGGAATCTGAGGATGCAAAAACATCAAAATATTGAGAAAATCATCTTTAAAGGTGTCCAAAAGAAGTTCTTAGCAATGCATATTACTAATCAAAAATTAAGTTTTGATATATTTACGGTAGGAAACTTACAAAATATCTTCATGGAACATGATCTTTACTTAATATCCTAATAATTTTTTGCATAAAAGAAAAATCTATAATTTTGACCCATACAATGTTTTTTTGGCTATTGCTACAAATATACCCCAGCGACTTAAGACTGCTTTTGTGCTCCAGGGTCACATATAGGCAAGTAAAAGCTTACAGAAAACTGATGAGAATTACTTCAGAATAAATTACATTACATAAAAAAAAAAAATCCCCTTTTTCCTGGACAAGTAACTTTTTTTTAGTTGGTGTTTAGCTGAAAAAATGCAATTCTGTATGTTTACATTACCACTGTATTGTCTGCTTTGGACAACATTTCAGCATGACACAGGGATTCCCATGTCTGTGATTCCTATGTAAGCATATATGCCACCTTCCTCCCTTTTTAACCCCCAAAGATAAAAGTGAAATTATATCTATGCATAAAACTTTGTATAAAGCATACAACTGCAACCTTACCTGACCCCATAAAAAGTAAAGCCAGTGGCAAAAATCTACACGACAAACAAAACACTATCAGAAGGTAAGAAAAAAAGAAAACCGTGTGAAGAAACACACAGTCCAGCAAAGACAGCAGAATTCACTTAGACCAAGCCCTGCTTTCCTTATTTAAATTCAAATTGTGGTCCTTTGGATTCCAGGACACTGCTCCATATCCTCCTGCCAGCCACTCGGATACACAAATCCATGTGTGTCCAAACCAAGTTCACAGATTTGTTCCCTGTCAACTCATCTACTTTAGGGGAGCAGTTTGGGAGGAGTCTGGCAGGTGTCATCTGTCTTTAACATTCATTTAACCTTCATCATGTCTTGTTTATATAACAGTTGATTTTCTTAATAACTATATGCTAATATTCAAATATCCTTTCCATGTTAATTTGTGTACATATTTATCTGCAGTTAAGTATTATGCATTTCTTTGGGCTGTTATAATGAAAGACTTCTAAGTTGAAAATTAGATGCTCTCTTATTTTTTGCCTAAAATCAAAGGTAATTTAAGAATGAATCAAACTATTAAGAACTAATTTTGTTTGGATCTTAGTCTTGTTTTGTAAACAATTTTCTGTTTTGTCAGTCAACAGAGCCTCACAGCCCTCATGTTAGCCTTACTTCCTAAAAACGTTTAGTAGTATAATAACACAGCTGAGAATGACTTCTTGGCACATGGCATAATGTTTTTATAATGGAATGTTTGACTGATGTTCAGCATGTTCTGCTGGTTTCACTGATATGTATAAACATCTCACACGGCATACATGCCACATGACCCTTAAGATACCAAGAAGTTTTCTAACTCTCAGTATTATAAGTCATGGGTTCAATTCCCAGAGAAGGCTGATAAATATAGACTGATATATGTAAACTGAAAGCAGCACAAGTGACTTCGCTTAAAAGTGTCTGCTAAATGCAGCAGCAGTGCATTTATAGTCACATTAAACTTTACTGTTGTTGTCTTGTTTTCTGTCAGCTGTGAGAATCAGCATTGAGCATGTGACCTATGCTGCACTGAATAGGCACTTTTTTTTATCATACTAATTTAAATGCCGGTTAGGCTAAGGTTTGGTTGATTTTCTTTATCTATCAGTAGACCTCTGCTGGTAGATGATGTAACTACACCATGCCTTTATGTTGAATTCATAAATGGCTTTTTTATTATTTATATCACCTTATATGATTTTTTTTTTTAATTTTCACTAAAACCCTTTTTGCATAGTGACATTTTATATGTTCTGTTGGTTAATAAAAAACACACAAAAATTCAGCTCAATAAAATTAGACATTTATTTGCTGAAAAACACAGCATTGTATCATTTTGAGAAAAATGTCTCAGAAAATAAGTTTGCAATAGAACGTCGTCTTGATTTAATAGTATGTTTCTCTTTCCACCCAGCCTGAAAACAAAATAGCACTGATATTAGATTTTATTCTTAATTTCTTAAAGCAATGAAATACTGTAGGGACATATGTTATTACCTCCTGGATTCTGTCGTAGGAGGTATTTTCTAACTTCATCATAGATGAAGATGAGAAGTGAGTATGGGAAGGCAGTGAACCACCACAATGGTCTGCATGAAAGAACACAAGGATTTTTTTCTTTTTTTTCATTGTTTCAAACCCTCATGCCACAAAGTCAGCTAGACAAATGAAAAGATTTGAGCGTGAAGACACCCAATTACATGTGTGCAAAAGTCTAGATACGTCCACTTACCTTAGAGGATACATTCTGACGGCAACGTCCATGCCTGGGCAGTAGGACAAGAAAGCTGCCAGAGCAGCTTCCTCAAAAAAGGCAAAGATGAGGACTTTGTTTCTTGGAAAAAAGAAAAGAACAAATTGTGATAAGGCTTTAAGGTGAGCAGCCTCGTGCTGCAACTGAACAAACAATCCACCAATACGTTATGGCTTCTTTGAAGCTTGTTTGCATCCCTTTGTTTACATACTTCATTCCCTGCTGTATGATGGAATTTCTTCTGGTCTTTACAATGATCAAGTCACCCCACTGCACAACCACAATACTGATGAAAAATGCTGTGTGGCAAGTGGACTCTATAATCTTTCTGGCCTCAAAGGTCTGCATCAGACAATTAAAACACAAGAACAAAGCAATGTTTATAAAAACATTTAAAAGACTGATTTTTCACATTTGTTCTATAATATAGAAGCTTTTTTGTTTCAATGTATGGCTTGCTAAAGCTTTAACACTTACCCATTGTTGACCATAGCTGTCTTCCAGGTCACTGATAGATCTGTCTTCCCAACCAACTCGAAGTCCTGGCAGATAACTGGGCCAGAATCCATTCTCACCCATAACCACGATGTAGGTAAAGAACCCTGCAACTGCTTGGATCATACCTAAAAAGGAAAATCATGACAGTAAAATTAATTGCTTGCCCATATTCATATACGCTTATACTAACTGTATAAATGTTAAAGATCTTTAACAGATGCTATGTGAAAAAATTCAGAGCTCTCTTTATCGAGTAAGAATGTGCTTACCGATTTGACCATATGCCATACTGATTAGCCTCGCGTTCACCAGCCTGTCTGTTTGAGCATTTCTGGGTTGTCTCTTCATGATGTCATTTTCTGCATTTTCATAAGCCAATGAGATAGCAGGAATCTGTGGCAACAATTAAAACGAGTTAAAAACAGATTAATAATTTAAAGATCTCTACGGTAATAATCATTTTTCTTACCAGATCAGTGCCCAGGTCAATGCAGAGAATGGTGACGGTGCCCAAAGGTAGAGGAATACCAATGAGGACAAACATGAGGAAGGGTGACATCTCAGGGATCTTACTAGTCAGCGTGTAGGCAATAGACTTCTTCAAGTTGTCAAAGATCAGACGTCCTGATGTGGAAGATACATTCAAAAAATAAGTGTCATAGTGACCTTGATAAATCTTCAGTCAAGTAAGTTCTCAAAATCATGACATACCTTCTTCTACTCCAGTGACAATTGAGGCAAAGTTGTCGTCCAGAAGAATCATGTCAGCAGCCTGTTTGGATACGTCAGATCCAGCGATACCCATAGCCACACCAATGTCAGCCTTCTTCAGAGCAGGAGAATCATTGACACCATCACCGGTTACGGCCACAATGGCACCCTGATAAGAGAAATAAAATGCATTAAAACGGTTCCTGCTGGGAAAGATTTTCTAGTATCAATAGGATCTGATAGATAACTGTCTGAGGGTACCTGTCGCTGACAACCTTCCACGATAATCAGCTTTTGTTGTGGAGAAGTTCTGGCGAAAACAATTTCTGTATGGTATTTGAGGATCTCATCCAGGTCGCTTTCATTCATATTCTTCAGTTCTCCACCATGGACCACACAGGCCTTAGCATCTCTAGAGGTACACATTGCATTAGCAGACATCTAGAGCAATTCCACATGCCACATCTAGAACTGGTTGAGATGATTGGTTTACCTTGGATTGACCTCTCCAACAGGAACGTTCAAACGTGCAGCAATGTCTTCCACAGTCTCATTGCCTTCAGAGATGATGCCAACACCCATTGCAATAGCCTTAGCTGTAATTGGATGGTCTCCAGTAACCATGATAACCTGTATGGGAAGAGTCATTAATTTTAATTACTTTGAATGAATAACCTTATTTGTAATTGAATGGTCACAAGTAATTATTATCGGAATAATTTAATATGGACACAGTATATTCAAGCAGTTGATCTTCGATGATGACAACACCTTGATTCCAGCACTCCGGCATTTGGCCACAGCATCTGGTACAGCCGCACGAGGGGGATCGATCATGGACATGAGGCCAACAAAACACAGGTTCTCAGTGGGGAAGTTCACATTTTCAGTATCAAATGCAAAACCCTCAGGAAACTGGTCATCAGGGAGGCTAAAGTGGCAGAAGCCTATGAGAGAGGTCACAGAATTATTGACGTGCTGTAATTTACCATTTTGTGTGTTCATTTTATTCTGTTGCCATAAATTCAATGCGTATCCCAAGGTGAATTTCATAAGGTGGCTTTACCCAGCACTCTTTCTCCAAGACCTCCAAGTTCTACATAAGCATTTTGGAATGACTCTTTCATTTCATCGTCCAAAGGCTGCTCTTTTCCTTGAATCAAAATAGTAGAGCATCGATCCAAGATTCTCTCAGGGGCTCCCTTCATCACCAGCAGGTGCTTAGACTCTGAAGAATTGGGATTCTTGTGGACTGAGAGCTAGAAAAGGCATATTAAAGGCCTATTAGGATGACCAGTTAATCTACAAACCAATCTCTAAAGAACACCTCAACAAAAATACCTGATACTTGTTGGTGGAGTTGAAAGGGATCTCACAAATCTTTGTGTACTTCTCTCTCATTTCAATGACTGAACCACAGCACAGCTCAATACACTTCAGCAGGGCAGACTCTGAGGCATCGCCAGCTGTCTCTCGCTGCAAAACAGATTTGATTGAACAAAGTTTTCACTCACAATAACATTGCTAAATTAGCTACTGGAAGTTGCAAGTCCTAATGTAGCTCGTATATGTATTAAGATAACTAGAGGGAAACTCACGCTAAGGATTGGCAGATGGCTCTGTTCAGCACGAAAAACAGCACGATTGCAAAGGCCAGCAACACGTGAGAGGGTGGCCCAAGTAGCAGAGCTCCTGTCAAAGGAGGCTCCACTCTGGTTCTCTGTGGTGTCTGCCTCGTGAATGTGGTTGTCAAACCACATGTGAGCGACGGTCATTCGGTTCTGGGTCAAAGTTCCAGTCTTGTCAGAGCAGATGGTGGAGGTCGAGCCAAGAGTCTCCACGGCTTCGAGATTCTTCACCAGGCAGTTCTTCTTCGCCATACGTTTGGCGGTCAGAGTCAGACACACCTACATAAGTAGGCACAAGCTAAGTAGTCACTTTTGGCTCAAACATACTAAAATATGACCAGGATTTATTGATTTAAAAATGTTGAAACAGTTGACTAAACAACCAAAGTATAACTAAACAATCACTCTAACTTACAGTTACAGTGGCAGGGAGACCTTCAGGTACATTAGCGACAATGATTCCAATAAGGAAAACAACAGCTTCCAACCACCCATATCCAAGTACCAAGGACAGGATTAGGAAGGCCACACCCAGGAAGACGGCTACACCAGAGATGATGTGGATAAAGTGCTCAATCTCTTTAGCAATTGGTGTTTTTCCACCATCTAGACTGGAGGCAAGTGATGCAATACGACCCATGACAGTACAGTCACCGGTGTTGATGACAATCCCTCTTCCAGTACCTGGGTTTTATTATATTCAAGATATTTAGTTGTTTAGTTTGTTCAGCTATTGTAAAATGCATGCAATGTATCCAACATAATACAGAAACTTTTTTGGTACCTTCAACACAGTTGGTTGAGAAAAACGCAATGTTTCTCGTCTCCAGGGGGTTTTCATGGGAGAAGTCAGGAGTACGAGACTGGGGCTCAGATTCACCAGTGAGGGAGGAGTTGTCCACCTGGAAAGGTAAAATGGAAGTTTCATAAAAAGGCATTGATGGGAAATATCACAATTACATTCAGAAATGCTTTAGGTCTTACCTTGCATCCATGTGCAGAGATGATTCGGAGATCAGCTGGGATTTTGTCTCCACCTTTGACCTCCACAAGATCACCAGCGACTACCTCCTCCGCATTGATGACCTTTTTCTCTCCATCACGCACAACTAACGCTTGCTACATAACCAGAACACAACAATGAGTACATTCATGCCACAGGAAAGCTACAACTAAACATGAATGATTTAAGAGGCCGTTACTGTACCTGAGGAACAAGGTTCCTAAAAGATTCCATGATCTTAGAGCTCTTGGATTCTTGATAGTATGAGAACCATCCGTTGACTATGACAACAAAAGCTAGCACAAGTCCCAGGTACAGCTGCAAAACCACAATGAGGTTTTTAGATAATGCATGACAATGTACAGTACATAAAAATGAAGACAAAACATTTTGTCTCTCATACATTGTCATTCGCTGGTTCTTCGTTAGAGGCAGCCTGGATTCCATATGCCGTGAAACAAAGAAATGCACCAAACCACAGCAGTGTCTGGAACCCACCAAACAGCTGTGTGCAGAACTTCACCCATTCTGGAGTTGTAGGAGGTGGGGTCAGGGCATTAGGTCCATCACGCTCTAAGATCTCCTTTGCACGGGATGAAGACAAGCCCTGCCGTAGGGTATGGACATTGAATAATGTGGAGACAAAAAACTAGAGATACCAAAATTTGTAAACACCTATACAAATTCTTATGCAATTTCAAGACAGTAAAGCGTCTTGACTAAACAAGACAGGTATCTTAAGCTTAACATAAAACATTTCAGTTTTATCAAAAAGTCAACTTAAACCAAAAGAATGTGATCATTAACTAGTTTTTGTCTCCTTGTATTTTACATAAAAGGAGGCAAAACACATAATTTCATATAGGCAATCTGGAGTAACACATAAAATGTACTAAAAACATAAAATTTGCAAAACTCTCAATAAACCTCTGCTCACCTTATTCAAGTCAGTGCCGTATTTGCGAGAAAGTTCATCCAATGTCAGCTTGTGGTCGTCCTACAAAAGAGCAAAACCGCTTCAATCTCAGTTCAGCAGAGAAAATCTATAAATCACATTTTTGTACAGCATGATAATTCACATGTGCAGAAAATAATTAAGTAATGTAGTCGAGAAAGTATTGGACTTTTCTTGGTAGTTATAGTTTCAGACTTTATTTTGATAGTCCACTTTAGACATTCTACTAACTATAAGTACCTTTGTAACTACATGTCAACAAATTCTCATTAATTTGCAACTACATGTCTACTAACTAGTTTTAGACTATGTTTAAAGTGGATTATCGAAATAAAGTGTTACCTCAGATCATACCAGATATGTTAATGCTATGTGTAATGTATATATTAATTTCTCACCAGCTCCACTTCTTTCTTCAGTTCGTTCACATCCTTCTTCTTTTTTTTACCCTTTTTGGTCTTTTTGATTTCCTTCTCAGAAGTTGCCGTCAACGTGTACTCATCATTCCCCGTCTATAAAACATAATGTATATATGATATAAAAGTTAACACCATACCTGATTGGAACAGAGCCAAAGATGAAATCAACACAACGAATGGAACATCAGCAGAATAAAACGATCCAGCAAAGTGACCAGGATCGCTGCGGAAAGGACCAGCATACACCAGCATGAGTTTCCATGCTGGCTTATGCTGGTTTGGTGCTAGTCTGTGGCGCTGATCAACCAGCATACTCTGGTAAATCTTGTTGACCAAAGAAGCTTTGCTAGTTAAACTAATTAAGCATCCAGTTTGGGCCCAGCCAGCTCACCAGCATCCAAAACACAACATATGCCGGTTGTTTTACAAGATATGTTCAAGATAACAATAGTCCACTCACGCCGAGCCCCATGGTCCCAGTTTATTTCAACCCAAAATCTGTTGTTTTAGATTTCAGAAGTGCAGACAAAGGAGACACAAGTGCCTGTGTGACCAATCCAAGTTCACAAAATTTATATTCTGCCAACTCACCTGTGTTTTGGGGAGGAGATCTGAGACATTTTGGGAGGGGTTTAGCAACTGTCATCCTTAACCTTTTATTTTAACCTTTCATTTATTTAACCTTCATCCATACAGGTAAGTCATTTTGGTGACATCAATGAGAAGGACTCGTTTTGATGTTTTTGATGTTGCCAACAGCAATTTATCCACTATTATATTTATATCTACTACTAATATTTTTAATATTACTTATTTACATATGCATACATATTTTATATTAATGTATATTTATATATAAATATATAATATATTATTTTCCATATTTATGATTATATTTAAAATATATATTTATTTATATAGAAAGAGAATATATATATATATATATATATTAGTTTTATTTATTTATTAAGCTAAATAAGTCATTTTTTACACTTGAAAATTTAAATTTAAATTGAACTCTACATTGCTTTTGTGCAAAAAGTCTAGGCATGTGCATTTAATTCATAGTAAACAATCTGAAAGCAATGTGTTCATGCCTGGAGAGAAGGACAGGAACATTGCCAAAGCCGTTCAACAAACAGACCAAAAAGTACAGCATGGTTTCTAAGAAATGAAGAGGATAAAATAATGATAACTTTAATTCTCGCCATTGTGGCCTGTGGGGCGGTTGGAGGTGGAATGAGCAGTCATGAGCTGGAACTGAACAAACAGCTCACTCTGATAAATATCAGTCCAATGTTTTATGACTGCTTTGAAGCCGAAACATTTGTTTACATACTTCACTCCTTGCTGTAGGATAAAATTGTAAGCCTTAGATGATCAAGTCAGCACGCACAGAGCACACAGGAGCAACAGATCAAATGTCTGTATTAGTGTCTTTTGTGTATTTGTTTTGTGTAGTCTAATTTTATGCATGACTTTTATGTTCCCTGTTAACCAGACCGGCATGGCTGATCACCAGCATATTCTGAATGATGGTGCTTTCTTAACCAGGTTAACCAGCAAAGAGCCAGAAAGAACATTCTGTGACCAGCATTACCAGCACCAGTATGGCTGTTCTGGTCCACAAGCAAGACCAGGACTAAACCACCATAAACCAGCTTGGACCTGCATAGAGCTTCATGCTGGTGTGAGCTGGTATTTCACAGACTCCACCAGTTTTATGACTTTTGTCCACTTGTTTATTTCATGACTGTGTCAACTGTGCTTTTTGGCATCTGTAAAGAATCTGTAGACTCAAACTGATTCTATATGTGGGCAGAATCAAGTGCTATAAATTGTGAATTTGTGCTTTGGAATTTGGACTTTGTCTGTGTTTTGTAAACCAGTTTTTGTCTGTTATCAGTCAACAGAGCTCTCAGGCCTCATGTCCTTCACAATGCCTCAGACGCTTAGTCCACACTTAGGCCTACAGATTTAAGAAGTGTAGGTGGATCAGTGTTTTATGTTACTAATCCAAAATTATTATGGGTGAATTATGTGATTACAAGAATTTTTTTTTTTTTGCTGGTGGGAGCAAAAATGGCTGAAACGGCATAATGAGCAGCCAAAAAAATGATAATGAGTCATACATATGTTTTTCAGCATGGCCTTTTTTGTTACAAATTATAGTTGTATCTTCATATGCAGTCGTAATATAAAACTACTTTTCATTAAAAAATAAATAAATAAATAGCATCATAATGTAACAGATATCTGCCATCAAAGAAAAAAGCATTAAAAAATTGCATAAAAATAATAAATTATTTCATTTACACACTTGAACAATGATTCACAAAATTTCACATCTGGTCAGTTTAGGGCTGTTTAAATTTTATAACAAACTTTACAGCACAATGCAACAGCTGAAAGCTGGTCATATCAATAATGTTTTTAATATTTCATCTGTTAAGCAGGAGTCCACTTCTGTTAGTTGGTTTTGCAGCTCAATAAATGCTCCTTTTGGACTGAACAAGAAGTTCTGAAAGTTACAGTATGTTTACACTGTACATCAAAGTCTGGTTTTAAATATAGAAAGAAAAAAAAAATCATAATATGACACCTTTCAATCTACTCTTAACCTTTGACCCGCTCTGCAGTCCTGTGGGTCACATTTCAAAGCATGTTCTGCTTTTTATGCTCGGCTCCCATTAATGCAGCCATATTTTGTTTTTGTTTCTAATAAAAGTCACTTATTAACTTCATATCATGAAATAGAGGTTTAGAGCAGCAGCATAATCTGTTTCGAGAATCAGTCCAGCATTACAGTGAAGTAGGCGTTTTGTGATTTAACAGAACAAGCACTCTTGTAATACACAGAATTCCACCGAAAAATAACGTTTTTTTCTTGACGTTGTAAAGAACATGTACACTAGGCCTCTCCTTTTCCTCTCAAAACGTAACAGCAATCAATGAACACATGATATGATGAACAAATAGCTAATAACTGAGAGAGACATAGAGGAGATTTCAATAATTATACATTATGATTTCTCAAAAGCAAGGCAATCAAAAACAATCTTAGTGGGTTCGACATTTAGGTTATTTCAATGTAACAGATTTTATTTTAAATTGGTGCTTAAATAGCTTTATTATTGGCATCTATGGTTCCATTAATAACTTTTAAGATTCATGGAAACATCTCAATGCACAAAAGGTTCTTCAGATTATTAAATGTTCTTCACTCTTAGAAAAAAAAAATGTTTCTTTTAAGAACAGTTGTCTGAAAGAAAAAAAAAAAAAAAAGGTTTCTCCAACGCATGGCTGCAAAAACGTGCTTTTGGAACCTTTATTTTTAAAGAGTGTAGTGAACATTAAAACTGATTGTGAGTCGGTGGACAACTAGAATCTGATGAAGACAGCAGCACACACTGTCACTTTAATAAAGCAAGATGTCTGAATATCCCCATCCTATAATAAAAATCCTAAGTAGTATTTCGTGAGAAGAACGCAGAATGCATGACATTATCACATCAACATTTTGAAAAATAAAAAGGTATTGTCACTGCTGTTATGACAACATGAAACCTCAAAAGAACCTGTTTGGAAAACAATTATGAAATCTAATAGGTAAATAGTGGGAAATATTTTTTACTACAGCAAAATTTCATTTTGAAAAAATTATATATTAGCAATTAATTTTTGTATATTTTTAAAAATATATCAGATTTTTCTCCCATATGCGGTTTGCTGTAAGACCGACAGACAGTGTTTCACGTTCCTATGTCTTGCGTGTTTACAGATGCTATGGAATAAGCAGAGGTCAGAGCTCTGAAACGAGTATGATGAAGCCGCCCTCCTTCATCCACATGCTCTCTGATTTGTCTCTGACAATCTCGGAAGATTTCTCAGAATATCTGCCAGAGTTTGTTCTGAAACAGAGTTTGTTCTGAGAAAGTTCTAATCCAATTTGTGACGTTCCCTGATGATGTTCTCCATCATTTGATGTCATCATCCTACTGCCTGTAATATATATACATATATTGAAGAAGGCCTTAATATTTCTTTTTTTAATAAAAATATTAAATCTGAACCAAAATGGAAATAAAAATAGGCCACGTACAAATTTATGGCAAGGCAACATGGATATCCAGTATGTCGCAATTTTTTTTTATTCTTATATTTGTTTATTTACCTAGATATAGCACACAAACTAAAGGATTACTTGTTTATTTTACATCATAATGTTTTCATCCTAAACTTGGTTTTAATCCTGCTTGATCTTAAAGTTCAGGGTGACCGGTGTGGAGGTCAAAGCAGATTTTGGATGATTAATTTGATTGACAGGCACAAGAACAGAGCAAGGACACAAAACAACCGGATGATCCATGTCTGACCGTTTTTTGTTCTGGATACAGACCAAGGTCAAAGGTCGGAGATTTCCACTTAAAACGACTTCAAAATGACACCCACAGCAGACAGAAGACTTTTACACAGAAAATGCTTTATGAAGATTGCCAGCTAAAATCATCCACGATTCAGAAACAATGAAATGTTGTGGCACTTATGTCAAATTAGCTGTTGATGCAACAGAAAAAATAAATAAAACATCTTAAAGAAAGAAAATATTGAAAGGAATTGAAGATGATACTGAGAATTTCTTTCCACACCAAACTGACTGTTTATAGTTTCAAAATTTTGAAACCATTTCTTGATGCTCAGAGAGGACTAATAGTTATTAGAAATATAGCTTACAATAAATAGTAGAGAACTGGTCTTTAAAGGACTTGAACGAACACTAACTGTGTGTTACTGGTGGAGCAGATACAGCAAAAGAAACATATTAAGAATCTTCTAGACTTTCCTCTGATGTGAGGATGAACAGGATTGCACTCGAGTCACATTACAGCTGCAAACATCCACAGCACGCTCTGGATGGATGTGAACTGGAGCTGTTTGTTTGAGGTGCAATGCTTTCTCTCTCCACTGGGTGGCGTGTTGGTACGGAAGCCTGAGAGGCCATGCATTTGTTTTTCTACATTTTTTGGGCTCAGCATAAAAACATTTCTCATGATCTCTCATTTTGGCATCAGAAAAAAAAAATGGTACATACATAATGCAGCTTTATAGAGTGTTCATACATACATATAAAGCTGCATTATGCATGTACATCTTTTTTCTTAAGCCAAAATTGTAAAATTGTGAGATTGTAAGAAAACATGTTATGCTGAGCTCACAAGCAAATTTAGAATATATATCCTGAATGAACCCTATATAAATATAACTTTTGTTACTTTTGGACCAAGAAATACAAAGATACACAATAGTATTTTGTCAAGATCACAAAAAAATCAACACAATACAATTAACAAAAAGAATGTATGAAGATAAAAATGCATGAACTCTTTCATAGTACATAAATATAATCATATAGTCACATTCAAGAGCACACGTGTGATTATACATTTGATAATAAATTAAAATTGCCCTCCCTAGGGAGAGATAATATTATCTATCTATCTATCTATCTATCTATCTATCTATCTATCTAT